ATGTTAGTAAATTTACTAAGGATACAAAATGCAGACAGAAACTTTCCCAGCATCAATAATGCATCACTGTGACGAAACCTTATAATCGCCTGGGGCAGATATGTATGCATAAAACCTTTGTTGATTCACAACGAGTACACAATAAATGACAAACAGTTCGCTTATGATACATTAGCTTATTAACTCCCTTAAGTAACGGATAACAGTTCTGACTACAGAATTGACTGCCTAGAATTCAGTTTCTGTCAGTGCGAAAAGATGAGACCACATTGCAAGAAAAGTTATCTCTGGATTGTGAGTGTTTTAAAAAGTGCTCTGCTGCTTAGAATCCGTCACTTAAATTGTTAAGAACAATAGAGCCAGCTCTTTGTTTCATTGAAAAAAATAAATGGTCCTTGATGCTGAAATTCTATTGGGTTAGACAAGAGAATAACACTCAGCTGAATAAAAAGCGCCTTGAGTGCCATTGGCCAAATGGTTATATTACCTATGAGACGGGAAACGTCCCTTTCAGGTGCCTTTTTGTTCATGAAAGACCGCTTTCTTTCGTGTCTTCGTAGGCGCAATGTTTGTTGCAATCTAAGCATTTCCGTTTCAATCGGAATCCATGTCTTTCGCGAGGTAGTTCATAATCATTTCATCATCAGCTGCGCACGCAAGCTGGTTTTGAAAGGTAAGCCGACTTTCATGAGACTGGCTGTTTGAAATTGAGATTTTGAAAGAGGCGAACAGTGCACGAGTGCATGTATCCTTCGCTGCTAAGACTTGAAAAGCAAGAATCCTAGCTGCAGTACAGTTAAAGAGATCGACTCGTTGCAATTAGCTGTTCTCCGATAAGCCTTATGGGTTGTAATAGGCTGAACGCCTTACCTTTCACTGCTAAAGGCATTGTTTGTCTACTACTGTTTTATCATTTTATCAGGTAACTATCTCCTATCAGCCATAGTATGAAGATCACGTGGTGGATATTTACTCTGTCTACCTTGTGGATTTACAAGCAGAGGACAAACTTGTGTGAAGGTAAAAAGAAAAAAAATTATGCTGCATGTTATTGTGTGCTTACTATGCGATTTCAAACGTCTTCACACCCGTTCTCCTACATCGAGTGATGGATTTTAAAGATAAATTGTTAATAAACCTCCAGAAAACTCTTTGACACTTGCTTTGGACCTGGCAGTGCAGAATTTTAATCATTGTACTCAAAAGTGACAGAAACCTTTGATGAATTTAGTCAAAATGTGGGAATTAAAACTCAAAAGATTAATCCCAGACAGAGGGCTCTGATCTTGAAATGCAGCACCAATTTTTTCCGCTTTGGTTCTTCCGGCTTTCCAAGATGAAGAGTGGAAATCTGAATTAATCTTTTTCAGACTTTACTTCTTCATTTGCTCTCAAGCCTATGATGCTTTTAGGACTCCGGTTTTGTATGGGCAAGCTCGACATCATATTTAATGAGGCCGTTGGATTGTATAATAACCATGAAGTTTATGCCTGTCTCAACTGTTTATGACAATTTGGTTTTATTAAGGGGGAGGGGGTGGCACTTCATCTCTGCTTGTATGAAGCACATAGCAACATCAGAAGTGCTTCGCTAAGCTTCCTCATTCGAACTTGAGGACAGTACTAGGAGCTAACAAAGAAAATGCCATTGCAGGCCCCTAGTGGGTTATTATTGGCTAATTTTCCGTGAGTGTAAAAGCTTTGTTGTTTGTATTGTTTGTGAGTTAAACAGTGTATTGTCTTATGAAAGTGTTTGTAATTTCACTAAATACAATTCTGGACGAGTGCGGCTGACCGCCATATGTACTTCCGCGCGTGTCAAAACATAATAAAACGTGGGCTGGTTTTTCTGTAAGATTTGAACAAATCGGTCTCCTAAAAGGATATTTTATCCCTTGTTTCTGTAGGTTTATCCTTATTGATATTTTGGGTGAATCGAATGACAGAGTCATTTTGCTCATCATTCCTTTTAAGTTTGAAATTGTTGTTGTATTAAATAGTGGTGAGCCAGGATTACATACTTATCTTGTCTTCTAGTGTTGTAAACACCTTGGTCAGAGCCAAAGATTCTAGGTATTTAACTTGCTGGTTTGTGTTCATCTGTTTTGTTTGCGGCTCTTTACTTCAAACGCTCTTTATGCTCCTATGAAAATGTTTTCAGGCTTTTATTGTAAATTACTGTTATAGCCAGAGTGTTGACTTGTGTCTTAATCATTAACTCCCAAGAACGTATTTCTAATTCTCATCAAAATTGTGTGAAGCAAAAGTAACTTGCTGCGCTGGGTGTTAAACAAATTGCTCTTTAAACAAAATCTTGTTGTTGTATCTGTGGTACTCACTCTATTAATGTTAAAATCAAAGTAATTATCCTCCATGGCAACATCTCTATACCTCCAAATATGAATTAAAATGGCTGATTTGAAAGATCTCCTACTACAGCACTGTAACAAAACTGAGATAATGCCTATAACATTTGTGTCTGATTGTGACAATGATTCTGTGGCTCCTGAGAGAGGAAAATCTAGCAATTACGTTCAAAACACATCTGTGCCAGTAAGTTTTATTAGTGATTCAATGATCAATTCAGTGAAAACAGAAGAACAAAAAAAATGACAAATACACTGAAACAAAAAGAACAAAGTGGGCTGATTTGACTTCTATTTAGCAGGGACGTACAGCAAAAAGGCATCTAAGAGAGCAACATGACGTTGCCAACCCTCGCGGTGCAATAGGCCTTTTGCAGTTAGAGATCACGTGCTTAGATACCGCATAGCAACGCCATACTGGAGAGCAAGCACTCCAGTGATCTCAAACAAAATAGAGATCACAGAGGTCTGCATTTAAACAAAGAATACAGCGGATAACAAGTTAAAGGGTATCCCAATTCGAGAAATCTTGTAAGTTTTAATCAACAGCTTCCTTGGAGTGTATCAGCGAAAAACGAATTTTGGTGTGATTTTGCTGCTGATACACTCAGGGGAAGCTGTTGATTACTTCTTACTGGATTCCTCAAATTGGGATACCTTTTGACCTGTTATCCGCTGTGTTCTTTGTTCGAATGCAGAACTCTGTGACCTCCATACTGTCTGAGATCACTGGAGTGCTTGCTCTCCAGTATGACGTTGCTATGCGGTATCTAAGCACGTGATCTCTAGCTGCAAAAGGCCTATTAAGTCAAACAGTGGAGACAGAGATGAATTTGAATGAGCATTTCAACCATTGAGCTGTCGTGCTGAATCACTAAAAAAGTAAATCCTCGTAACAAATTATTAATGCCAAGAACCAATATTTCTTTCTGGTGACCTCTAATCTGGACAAGCTTATATCACCTAAGGAAGAAATATCACGCATACCTTGTTGCTTTAATTTAAGTATAAATAATTAATTCTCCCTGAACATAAATTTAGGATTGACTGTTGCACAAATTGTATTGGGTAAGCGATTACAATACAGAATTGATACATTATGTAGATAAGGTTCATGAAGTGCAGATTCAGTTCTACAAATCTGGAGCATTAGTTTCTGTTTCAATATTTTTAAAACCAAAGCTTGACAATAACAGTTTAATTATATACAGAAAAAGGATAAACCAGTGTGTTTGTTCTTTTAATTGTTTTTTATGTTTTCATCCGTTTCAACAACTACAAACCTTTCAAATGATTATGAAGAAGAGAGAAAATGGAGAGAGGCAAAATATAGTTAGTTAATTAAATGCTCTTAAATTTTAATGAAATTTTTCTATATATCAACCTTCTACACTCTAACATCAATGTCAATATTCTCCATACTCTCTAAACATTTCCTTTGGTTCTGGAGAATTTGTTTGACATTCAAAGCTTCTCAGGCTTATACAATCATTCCCTTTACTCTCATGATTTCAATGAATGATTCAGCAGCGATGCTGTAAAGAAAAAATGAGATACTGGTCAAAGATTAAAACAAAGCAAGACAAAATTTAGTGAGGGAAAGAGAAATCACACTGGGTAAATAGATAGCTCAAGATCAAAGAAAGACAGTAATTAATACTGCGAAAAGTAATACATGAAAAGCACTCCATCAATAGCTTGCTTGTGGATTCTCCCGTATCGATATAGGAATATCATTCCAATAGCAAGCATTAACAATTATTGAGAAAAGAGTCTGCTTAAATTATTATGAAAAGAGTACATGATGATTCTGAAAAAATTGTATTCTAGCTTTACCAACCAAGACAATGGTGCTCCCCACGGTATGTTAGTGTACTCCCCGCGGTATGTTAGTGTACTCCCCACGGTATGTTAGTGTACTCCCCACGGTATGTTAGTGTACTCCCCACGGTATGTTAGTGTACTCCTCACGGTATGTTAGTGTACTTCCCACGGTATGTTAGTGTACTCCCCACGGTATGTTAGTGTACTCCCCACGGTATGTTAGTGTACTCCCCACGGTATGTTAGTGTACTCCCCACGGTATGTTAGTGTACTCCCCACGGTATGTTAGTGTACTCCCCACGGTATGTTAGTGTACTCCCCACGGTATGTTAGTGTACTCCCCACGGTATGTTAGTGTACTCCCCACGGTATGTTAGTGTACTCCCCACGGTATGTTAGTGTACTCCCCACGGTATGTTAGTGTACTCCCCACGGTATGTTAGTGTACTCCCCACGGTATGTTAGTGTACTCCCCACGGTATGTTAGTGTACTCCCCACGGTATGTTAGTGTACTCCCCACGGTATGTTAGTGTACTCCCCACGGTATGTTAGTGTACTCCCCACGGTATGTTAGTGTACTCCCCACGGTATGTTAGTGTACTCCCCACGGTATGTTAGTGTACTCCCCACGGTATGTTAGTGTACTCCCCACGGTATGTTAGTGTACTCCCCACGGTATGTTAGTGTACTCCCCACGGTATGTTAGTGTAC